TAAGTAAAGAGCGGAATATCTCACGAAACTGTTGTAGGACTTATTTTGAGCTTGATGTAATAAAATTGAATAGTAATATAATTTTTATTCAATTTTAATTTGATATTAAAATATGTATTAGTATGTAGGATATTATGTGCATTGTATAATTTTTATTTTTGTATTTGTTATTTGTTTGCTTATATATAGTATTTAATTTTTATTTTGAGTGTTTAAGTAAAAGTTGTAATGGTAATTTATTGAAAGTTTTTATGAAAATCAATCATCATTAATGAAATAAAACTGATTATTGATAAACCTCAGCTATAATCAGTTATTTCAATGATACAAACTTCTTCAAAAGTTGCGAAAATTATTTTGTAATATCATTTTATAAATTTGACTTTAACATAATATTTTTAGGTGATGAAGAAAAGCTTTTCTTAATTCGATGTTTAACTAATGTTCGCATTGTCAACTCTGATCGTCAAATGGAATTCAAAGAATTTGAAAAATAAGATTGAATGGTTGATTATTGACATATCTATGAAAGATTTTAAGCAAACTTTCTTTGGATTAGTTTAGTGAAAGGAATACTGTATCGTGACTTTCATAAATGTCTTCAATAAAATCGACGTCATCGATTTATTGAAAATGTTTATGAATGTGATATCTTGTATTCTAACAACATTCTCGTAAAGAGTTAAATATTTCAAAGAACAGTTGTATGGTTTTTTTTTGTTCTTAGTTTTATGAAAATTGAATAATATTGTTTATCAATTATTTGATATTAATATAGGTATTAGTATGTAGGTTAATAATAGGGCTCTGCGAATCACTATTTTTAACTTCGAATCAAATCACAATTTGAAATCTTGATTCACAAATCAAATTAAATCATAGTCCAATAAGCATTTTGACAAAATCTAAGTTTAATGAAAGCATAGATATCCTCAAAATGCTGATTTGATTCGAGGTTTGACTCGGTTTGTGATACAACGCTTGATTCGATTCGATACCAAAAAAGGTGATTCGCAGGGCCCTAGTTTTTATGTGTATAATCTAATTTCTGTCATTATATTAATTGTCAGTTTGTTTATATTATTGTTATTATTTGTTTTTAATTTTTCTTTAGATTGTCTATATGAATCTTCGCATTGTCAACTCTGGTTATCCAATTGAATAAGAAGAATGGAAGATAAGATTGAATGGTTGATGGTTGACATCACAAAATAATTAATATCAGAGAAGATTTTGAGGAAAACCTTTTTTGAATTAATCTTTGTAAAAGAATATCTTAACTTTCATAAACTTCTTTAATAAAATCGACGTCATCGATGTATTAAAGATGTTTATGAATGTGATATATCGTATTCAAACAACATTCTCATAAAAAATGAAATATCTCAAGGAACTGTCGTATGGTTTATTTTATCTTGAGCTTAATGAATAATTTTTTTTTTTATTCAAGTAGACTATATCCTATCCTATAATATTTTAATGAGAAACTTAATGTTGCTGCCTTTGCTTATTTGTGCGTGACACGGAGCTTTACAGCGATAATTTTCCCTACTTGGCTATATATATATATATATATATATATATATATATATATATATATATATATATATATATATATATATATATATATATATATTTTTTTTACATATATATATTTTTTTTTTTTACATATATATAGGTTTTTTTTTACATATATATATATATATATATATATATATATATATATATATATATATATATATATATATATATATATATATATATATATATATATATATATATATATATATATATGTAAAAAAAAATACATCTAAACTTCTTACAGTATTTGCTAAAATATATAATAAGGAGGTAATCCATTGGTATTCAAAAAAGTACCCTTCTCAGAATAAATGAAATTTGATTATCTGATGTTACCAAACATGCACGTACATGCAAAATGGTGCGGCAAAATATCATTGTTTCAGATCTTTTAAAGCGGATTAAAACTCTTGAAATTGAAAAAATTAATGCCTTAACAACAGCAACATCAAATAAACCCACAACAATGTTCTCATATGCTCAAGCAGCATCAATAGACCTTTTCGCGGTTGCCAAATACATCTTGGGTAATCAGGGCAAACAAACAACAAGTTAATCAGGGCAAACAAACAATAAGTTAGTTCTATTTAGTGAAGGAAAGCTGAAAAGATTCTGCTTATTTTTAATGTTCTGCCACTTAGCACTTATTATCATTATCACTTTATTGCTTAACTTAACGCTGCTGCTGTCCATTCGTGCGCGTTTACACGAACTTTTTTACCATTTATTATAAATTAGATTTAGCATCCTCTTTTTATTTATACTGTAGAACTCACGCGATGAGGTTCTCTCAAAACTTAATAATCTGTTAATATCTGCTTAATCAGTAATAAGATCCAAAACATTGCTTAATTAGTGATAAGATCGACAATTTTTATTTTTTAACTTCAGTAGTAAAGGATGATCCTTATGTTATTTTTGTAATTAGTAAAGTAACTTTTAAAGTTTTAAAGGTGATTTATTTCATTCAGTCATAATAATAACACAATTCAAGTCCTTTGTCAATTGTATTTATAGTATATATTTAATGAACAGATTTCATTCATTTTTTATCCTGTTACTTTTCTTCGCTTGAAGGAAATGTTTGTTTATAGAGGTTTTCTATTAATAGTTTTGTATTTATTAATTGCAAATCTTGCGTTTTTAAGTAATGAAAGGGATTTTTTAATGAAAGATTGCATTTTATCATTTAATGCTGGCAATATTTGCTGAGCAGACAGCCCTCATAATTTTCTCAATTTGCTTTATTTATAAGGTTTTAGCTGTAAAAGATTTTGTAACTTATATTAATTACTTTTTATTGTTTTTTTGATCAAATACTAATAATATTTTATCAATTATTAATAGCAACATTAAATATATAACTTTACTCAGTTATAAAGATTATATCAATTTATTTATAACTTTAGTTTAGGTACTGTACGTACAGTCATGATGAAAAACAAAAATTAAATCTGTTTGTAATTAGTGTATTACTAAAATTTGCTGAAAAAATATTGTTGAAAAAATGTGTTTAAATGTTGTTATGCTCTGTTGTTTTTTGTTAACAATTTATGCTTTTGACGATAAATAAATTTTGTTAAAAAAAAAATTTCTTTTTACTTATAGCTCCTCTCTATTAAAACATTTAAGAGTTTTGATTTCCGTTATTAAATAGTTTTAACTAAAATTTTTTTATTTATTAAAGGTAGTATACAACGTGTTAAAACATAAGTTTTCGTAACTTTCATTAAGTTTTTAGGATTTTTTGTGAAGAGAGTATTTTCTTTATATTATTATTTTAATGTTTTGAGTGCTCAATGTTCTTAAAGAACAGAGCAATAATAAACTAGATTAAACAAATTATGTATATATATATATATATATATATATATATATATATATATATATATATATATATATATATATATATATATATATATATATATATATATATATATATATATTTACAATAAATATTTAAAATTAAAATGTCTATACATATACGTATAGACATTTTAATTTTTCTGCATTAAATTATTGAACTTTTAGAATAATAATTATCTAAAAAAAGATTTTTATAATGGATGATTACGTTTTATCCTTCCATACTAGCAGTACTTGCTGAGCCGACAGGCCTTATAGTTTATTAATTTGCTTCATTTATGAGTTCTTATATGTAAAAAAAAACATTTTTTAAATTACTTTTTATTGTTTTTTTGATTAAATACTAATAATATTTTGTCAATAATTAATAACAACTATCTTAAACAAATAACAATACTCAGTTAAAAAGATTATATCAATATATTTATAGTTTAGTTTAAGTTCATAATAAAAGTATTCTATCTTAACACATTGCTATATGAATTGCTAACTTTAAAATGGGGACATGTCCTACAAAAATTCACATAACATGTCCCCTTTTTCAAGTTAGCGCTTTATATATGGTAGAATGTAATAGATTATATTATGCTCTATATTATTTGCTTATACTTTATTGTAGATAAGTTTGAAAAAAGAAAACTTAACTTTTTCACTTAAAGTGAAGAAACTTTAACTTTTATTATATTAGGAATCATTATTACACACTACTTTGATGCTTAATTATGTCTGATAACTTAAGAAATAAAATTGTTAGACTTCATCGAAATGAAAGAAGGCAGGCTAGGCGCGCTTAGATAAACCGCCGTTGAAATAAAAGAGATGAGCCCAACTGAGCTGAGATAAATTGTCGTTAAAATAAAAGAGATGAGCCTAGGCTGAAATAAATTGTAATCAAAATGAGGCGAAAACTCTAGAGATATGCATAGCAAGAACTTATGCATCGCATAGCAAGAAATAATACTGCTATAGCCCAGTGGGCACGGAAGTAAAAAAGACGTCTTTTAAACGTTTAAAATACGTCCAAAACGTTCAAAAGACGATCAGAAAACGTCTAAAACGTGTATAAGACGTTTAAAAGACGTCTTTTTTTACTTCCGTGCCCACTGGGAGAGAGTAACTACCATAGAATTAAACCATAACTGTCAGTATTGTAGTGCAAAGAAGTTTTTAAATAAAACTAATTTTTTGTGCTGCCATTCAGGAAAAGTTGTATTAGTTTCTCTTTCTCTATATCCACCATTGTTGACTGATTTAATGATAGGAAACCATGTTGATCATGCTGTAAATCAAAAATTTTTTAAACACATAAGGAGTTATAATTCCTCTTTATCTTTTGCTTTCTTCACTGCCAAAATAGCTCCTCCCTCAAATAATGTCCCTTTCTGTTTTGTGGTCTACCCAAATATTGTCAGTTATATATTTATAATCCTAATACAGCTGTGTCATTCATAATGGAGCAACTAGGTAATGATGGTTGTATACGTGATGTGTGCAACTCTTGCAAATATTAATTAATTAATCAAGAAAACCCATTTGCTCTTGCATTTAAAAACATGGCAGAAGTAGAGGATGAAGAAATCCGCCGAGCAGCTTTAGAAGGTAGACCAACTTCTGTTGTAAGAATGTCTAAGCTTGAAACTCGTGATAAACGTCAATACAATCTTCTTTCCCATGAGGAGGTTGCTATTGTGTTTGTGGGAAATTATGGTGCTCCACCTGCATCCAGGGGTATTGTTGTATACCCTCGAGGTCAGCCTTTAAAAACAATTTCGTCTATGTCTGCAAATTTAGATCCTATGGTATATCCAATATTTTTCCCAAGAGGTGATGTTGGATGGCACAATCAACTGGAGCACAACCCTGACCGTGCAACCCGTGTTAGAAACCATGTTACTTTGTCTCAATATTATAATTATAGGCTTACTGTTAGACAAACTTTTAGTCCTATATTCTATGTTAAGAAACCTTTTCAGCAATATGTTGTTGATGCATATGTGAAAGTTAAGGAACAGCGCTTTGCTTTTATTAGAAATAACCAAAAAAAACTTAGAAGTAAACAATATGATGCATTGCATGAACATGTAATTAATCGTGCTAATGATCTTAATGTAAGACCAGGCCGCGTTGTTATATTACCTTCTTCATGTGTTGGTAGTCAATGAGCACTAAAAGAAAACTTTGAAGATGCAATGGCAGTAATAAAGCTGCATTGTAAACCAGATCTATTCATTACTGTTACCTGCAATCCAAAATGGAGAGAAATAGTAGAAAATTTAAACCCTGACCAAACTGCTAATGACAGACCTGATTTAGTTTGTCGGGTAATTTAAAAGGAAACTTAAATATTTCTTAGAAGATATTTTCAAGCATAGAGTCGATAGGCAAAGTTGTAAGTCATGTGCAGGTTACTGAGTTTCAAAAACGTGGTTTGCTACATGTACATATTTTATTGCTTTTTGTAAATGCATATAATCTAGAAATAGCAGAAAATATTGACAGTTTGATATCAGCAGAAATTTGAGACCCAGCTGTTGATCCTGAACTTTATAAAATTATAAAATCATGCATGATACATGGACCATGTGGAGTTTTAAATTTGAATTCTCCCTGCATGAAAGATGGGAAATGCACAAAAAAATTTCCTAAAGAATTTAATCCCACACTATTGCAATTTTTAATGATTATCCACGCTATAGACGTGTCGATAAAAAAGTGTCAATATAAAAGGTAATCAAGTTGATAACCGTTGGGTTGTACCTTATAAACCATGGCTTTCTAAAAAATATCAAGCGCACATAAATGTTAAAGCCTGCATGACCATAAAGTCAGTTAAGTGTTTATATAAATACATTTACAAAGGGCATGACTGTGCCAATGTGGTGTTAAATGAGCAAGTTAACCATGATAAAATAAAAACATTTTTAAATTGTCGTTATGTCTCAGCTCCAGAAGCATTGTAGCGAATATTTGAGTATTCTTTAAGTGATATGTTACATAACATCATTCGACTCCAGGTTTATCTACCAGATAATCAAATGATTTTTGTATAAGGTAAAAAACGGGCAGCTTTAGACCCTTCAGCACAGCGTGACACTCATCTAACTGCATGGTTTTAATTAAATGCTGAAAATAAACAAGCCCGACACTATCTGTATGTTGAAATTCCTTACCACTTTGTTTTTGATAGCAAACATTGTTAATGGAAAGTTAGGCAAATAGGTAGCAATAAGGTGATTGTTAGGATGTATAAAGTAAGTCCAATAGGTAAAGAATTTTATCTTAGAATGTTACTTTTGCATGTTAGAGGAGCAGTTTTTTAAAGATTTGCGCACTGTTAATGGTACAGTTTTTAATACATTCCGTGAAGCATGTTCTCAATTAGGTCTGTTACAAGACGACGCTGAATGGAGAAATACGTTAACTGAGGCTATTGCAACTCGGTTGCCTAATCAAATTAGACAATTATTTTCCATTATTTTGACCTTCTGTGAACCTGATGATCTTTTAAATCTTTGAAATGCTTTTGAAGATTTTATGATGGAGGATTACATTCACCATTCCATGCCACCAATAATTGCTGAGCCGGCAGCCTTGCGTTAAATTGAATCTATAACTAATCAGAATGGTAAAACTTTAGCTGATTTTAATCTTCCTACTTTAGATGAGTTTTTAAATTATGTCCTACAAAATGAAGAGGAAGATGTTCAGGTTTTAATTGACGAAGCAAATAGAGTTAAATCATTAGCAATAAATTAAGAGGTTTTGGACTGTTTACCAGGTGATGTAAAAGTTTATTTAAATGCAGATACTATTGAAACAGATGATATTAACGAAACCAATAATTTTCCTGTTGAGTTGTTAAACAGTCTTACTCCATCGGGAATGCATGTTCATTGCCTAAAACTAAAAATTGGTGCTGTTATAATGTTACTTTGAAATTTAGATCTTAAAGCTGGACTTTGCAATGGTACCCGATTGATGGTGCGTGCTCTACAAAATAGTTACATTAATGGGCAATTTTAAAATTCCAGTTGAGCCTTTGTTTACGGATTATACTACCAATAACTCAAACATTTTCTAATAAGCTAATATTTTGTCCCTTGGTGGTTTCAGTTATTGAGTCTTTACTGTAACATTTTCTGCTATTTGTTATTGATGTTATTGTTTGCGATGTTATTTTTGTGATGTTTTGTGTTGATAGACGACTTGGCTTACCTTCACGTCGGTGTCTATCGTTAAAAATGATTATTGGGCCGGGTGAATAAAAAAGAGCAATTGCTTTTACTCAGCGTTTTTGGAGTAATTGCTCAACTTTACGTGAATAAAAAATTAAAGCAATTGCTCTTTTTTCCGCGAAAGCTTTTACTCAAATGTTTAGCGATTGCTCACATATGAGAAAAACGCGTGAATAGAAAAGCTTTAACTCAAAAAACGACGAGCAATTGCTTCTAATTTTACGAGCACCTATAATAGTTGCTTTTTTTTTTTTTTTTTTTTTGATAATCGGACATTGATTTTGTTATATTAGCTATTTATTTATATACTTTACTATTTTTTGACTATTAATGTATATATCTATATATTTTTACATCATGCATTTATATATAATTATACTAGCACGTTTTTGACACAATTATTTTTTGGAATATAATTTTAGCAATACTGTTTTAAAAAACTGTCTCTTTGACACTTCAAAAAATTTTGATTAAGACTTTTCAGTATATAGTTTTCCCACATACGGAAGAACAAAACTGAGAGCAAAGCTGGAATGGGCAAACGAAAGAGGCTATTCCTGTACAATAGGAGCTATTGATTGCACCCATGTAAGAATTGATAAACCCAATGGAGAATTTGCTGAAGAGCCTAATAATAGAAAAGTGTTTGATTTAATCAACAGCAGAGATGCGGAGTCCCAAAAGGACTCCGGCTTTATATCTCTACTTTTTCCAAGTATGTAGTGTCCAGAAACTCTAAACATGTTTGTTGACTTTTGATTTGCTATAAGTAAAACATTGGCGAGATTTAATGACTTAAAACTTATTGTTTTTAAGCCCGGAGTCCTTGCTGCCATCATACGTAAGGACTCCGGGTTCAAAAAATTATTGTTCCTCTTACCTAAAAGTCTTTTTTTAAAAAAAGTTTTTAAAATTTTTTTCCTATTAGTAGTACATAAACTTATTAATATTTTTAGAGCTCCTGGAAACCAAAAACAAGGAAGAAGTAATCTTTTTGTGCCTTTCATATCTGGAGTTCCTTTTGGGACTCCGCATCCCGCAATCAACTTTTATAGTAAACTGTAAGGGTTTTTCTTTTTCTTAATAATTTTAGTGTGCTTTTTATAAAAGAGTTTATAATCGAAACTTGCAACAATAAACTTTGAAACTTTTATAAGAATACACAAAAGATCTCTTAAAGTAAGTTTCTTACTTGTTATCACCTTTTTTTTTCTGTGTTGTCACATATTTGAGTTTTCAAATAAAAAAGGTCAATAATGTGTAATAAGTGTTTCCAATAATTTTGTTTTATTTTAGGTCGAATTCCTTCTTTTAATGTTGATTGTTTTTTAACATCCAAAGGGAAGTTTTCCTTATCTTTATACCATTTACTAAAAGATATATAATAAAGAAACAATTCAAATTGATTATATAAAGTACTTCTGATACTTTTTATGTTAAATATAATATATATTTGTATTTTTTTTTAATTAAAAAAAATTTTTATTTTTATTTCAAGAAAAATGTTTTTTGTTTCTCACACAAATTTGTACATTTTTTTTTTTGGAATTATAGTGCTTTATGGATACATTGCTCACTTTGCTTTTTATTTTTATTTTTTATATATACTTCCGTTATATTGTTATATATGAATGGAAACCGTTTATACTTTTGTTACTATGGTAATTACGAATCTAGATAGTTCCATTCCCATTAGGTATTTTACAAGTTTTCGGTACAAATAATAGCTATAGTAGTTTAATAATTTGCTAAAACTGGTGTGAAAAACAACTTGAAAAAATTTGTTGAGAGTTTATTGCAACAAATCTGCTTTAAGAATTGTCAAACAAATAGAGCTAAGTTTTGACATAATTAGGATTCGTGAATTTACCTAGGTTTGCCAGATTACCGGCTTTTACAGAGTAGAATATAGTTTCAAACATATACAAATCAATTTTTTTTTTAGTATAGTTCTTCATAAAAGCCGGACGTCTTGCTACCATATTTTTACTTACTTTTTTTAATTCGCTTAACTATAAATCCTCCAAATCTGATTTTCGAACAGCTAATTTTTTACTATTTATTTAAGTTCTATAGACCTAACTAAGAACAAGTTTAAAAATAGTCGAATGTAGAATATATAGACCTAACTAAGAACAAGTTTAAAAATAGTCGAATGTAGAATAGGGTTACCGCCACCCGTATCATACGGGTCACGACTGCTAGTTCAATATTATTATTAGAAAATTTTTGACGTTTTATAAATTATTTTTTTGTTCTATAAAGATAATAAATACAACTTTAAACTGCCAAACAACTGTATAATGCCAAACTGCTACGTATTGTTGCTCTGTTGTTGGTTGTAATAATGACTTCATTGAAGTCTTCAAATGTCCAGATAATTTATTTAAAAGAAGTCAATTATACAGTGCCAAATTTCACTGTTGATTTGGCAAAAAGCAATCTAAGTCATGTTGTAAAAGATTTATTCATTTCGAGTTTGAAAAACCTATTTTTCTTTGCTTAATTTTATCATACATAAAAGTATCGTTATGCAGAATAAGAATCCACAAAAAGAAGAAGATTGCTACATTAAATTGAGGTAAACTTGATAACAACACTTTCTTAAAACCATAGGAATTAAAGACTGATAAATCTATCAAGCTAGAGACTTGATGATAATTATATGACGATAATTGTTTTAGCTAAATTACTTAGATATTTTTTGATTTTCGGTTTTTTGCAGGCCTAGCATATTAAAAGGCCTTGGAAATGTTGCTTTCTCACGTGCAGAGGAATGAAAATATAATGCACTAAAAGGTAAAAGTTCAGCTTTAAAAGGTAAAAGTTCAGCTAAAGATTAATTTTGATTTAAAAACAATAAAATAAAATCTCTAGCATCTCTAGTTTTTGACAAAGCATTGGCTTCGGCGAGTTTTTTTAGGTAA